CCCCCCCCACCTTGCTTTCTTTACATGCCTTCCTCGCCAATCAATGAACTCACCGGGTCTTAGTTTCAACAAGTTTCAATCCATCCTGTCCTAAGTAGCACTGAGTCATAGAGAAATTGGTCCAGAGCTGAAACTGGATCCTCCCCGAACTGTACTCTTTTTGTAAAGCAGGAGTTTCATTCAAACAACTCTTAAGGTGGGGGCGTGTTCAAGCATTGAGTGCAGGAATCCTTTTGTAGTCATTTTAAATCAACTCTTTCCCCTCCTCTCTCACCTTTAACCTCTTCAACTACCTCAATTATTCCCCCGACCTTTCACACCACTAATCCACGTTTTGTTTTTCTCCTCTTCTCAACTTTCCTCTATCCTGAAGAAATGTGAGTTCAGAGCGGAGCGAGGCGCGGAGGAAGCTGAGGGAGTGCACGGGATTGGTGGATTCGCTCATGTACATCGTCCAATCCCAGATTGACTGTAAAGACGTCGACAACAAGGTAAATGAAACTGATCTGTTTGCCCGTCTATTTTTTAAATGTATGTAAAGAACGACCACCAGGTTTTTTTTAAAATTAATGTTGTATCTAGCAGGAACACATTTAAGACCCTGCTCTACAATCATCAGCATAATAGTGGCGTTGTGTTCAATTTACATTTCAATAAACTATTAATAACTGGGTTCTTAAATGTAATAAAGATTACATTTAAAGTAATTTATTTGAAGAAAAGGTCAACTGGTCCCAACACATGCTGTGTTTTTAGAAGGTATTAATTAAAGACATCAATATTTTGTCTCCACCTGTCTTTCACTTGACTACTTGGTGACTCAGAAATACTTTTTACTTTGTTATTAAATCTAAATATTATTATTTACATTTTAATAAACTGTTACATTAACATAGAGTTAAAGTAAAAATGTGAACATTATACTACAATATATATATATATATATATATATATATATATATATATATATAACAACAATAAACATTTAATAAAGTGTATATAACAGTATATAAAGTAGAAGTAGTGTATTTGTATTAATAATGATAATGATGCTAAAAATCAGTTTATATGACTCAAACATGTTTTTTGGGGGACATTTTATTTTATACCAGTTGCTCTAATTCATTTTTACTTTAACCTGCATATAGTCAATTTAAAATAAAAAATTTCTATAAACATAGAGTAGTTAAAGTACCAATTTGCACATTGTACTATAAAACATAATGATGAATATGAAACATGGGTGTTGACTATATTAATGCTGAAAACCCTATTCCTACGCAAAATGTAAGAATAGTTATGAGTATTGCTCTGATTGATAATGAATTGAGAATATGACACAGTTGAATAAATACTGCAGAGTATTGCTTAAGTTAATCCATATGTCACAGTTTAGAAGGGATCAATCTGCTCCACTGCAACACCACAGCAGCTTGGCTCTGTGTGATGATGATGCGTGTTTGTGACTAATCTTTATCATGATCACGTTCCAGATGTTTTAAAAACACGTTGCATGGCAATAATTCCCCCTCGTGTCTTCTCTCCACCTCACCCGGCATTTTCCCTCCGTATATTTGCAGCTGATAGAGAACAGCGTGTGTCTGCTGAGGAACCTGTCCTATCACGTGCACCGTGAAATCCCCGGCTGTGAGCGCTACCAGGAGGCCGCGCCCCTCAACCAGGGCCCCGCCCCCTCCAGCCAGAAGGGAGGCTGCTTCAGCTCCCGCAAGAGCAAAGGTCTGTGTCACAGAGTCAGGAGGAGGAGCAACATCTATGGGGGGTGTCACTGTGACAGCAGTGTGTCGCTACACTGATACACACACACACACACACACACACACACACACACACACACACACACACACACACACACACACACACACACACACACACACACACACACACAGGAATGTCAGCAATTTCCTCAACTCTGAGAAAGCTCATCCTCTCTCCTGCTGCAATCTGTTTGTGTTTTGCTGAGAGTACACCCCCCCCCCCC